GAATGTGTCTTGTAGAGGGACCCTGGGAGAATTTCCTTAATGGATTCCTTAGTTATATATAGTACAAGACAGTAAGACAATAAGACGCATTTTTTGAAAAGTTTCTGAGATTCGAAAGGTTGGGTCGGAGAAATGTTCAGGATCCTTGGACCGTCCCCAGAAAAGCGTCTTTGTGTCTTGCGTCTTGTGAGGTGGTATGGGCGGGTTCCTTTATCCTGAGGGTAATAAAGCACAGCATCCGTCCCCCCAACTCTGGTTTCTGAGTAGCGTCTTCGCGTGCAGGGTGGGAGCAACTTCAGCCGACAGAGCGATTTGTTCAAGAGCGTGAGCTCGAAGTTCGGGCCATCCCCGAGGCTCGATGAGAAGACATTGCGAGAGGCCGCGATGGGCTACTTTGCGCTGAAGCAGAAGTACGAGGAGCCGCGCTGTTGTTCCCTCTGCGGGCCTCATCCCGAGTATCTGATCTGCGACGGGCTCTTTGGGTTGGCGAACAAGGACGGCAGCGAGCGCAAGGGGGGCATCGCTTCCACCACTCAGAACAAGCGAGCCAGCTTCACGCACCCAGATAAGCGGGACGGTGTGCCCTTCCAGAAGATGCGGACGGCGGGTGTGCACTATTCGGGAGTCAGCCGGGTGAGTCACAGCGCAACGCTTCGCGGCCCTTTCGGTCATGATCGATCGAATGTCCGTCCTACGATACGCACTGCCTACTCTGGATGCAGGCTGCGCGCTAACGACGCGAGGCGATGTCGAAGGAACTCTCCCGCTCTGGCACGGTCCTATGTCTGGGAGAATCTCGCCCAACATGTCGCATGATGCATCTCCCGCGTTCGCAGGGCGGGGCGTACACGGTGAGGCGGGTGGTGCCTGAGGACGACCTCCGGAGGCTGCTGGCGCGCTTGAGCCAACATCGGCCGTCCGCTCAGCACGCCGACCCCGACGAGGAGGCGAACAATCCTCCGAAGAGGGGCGAGCCTTTAGACGTGAACGACTACTACGGTGTGCTGCTGGGGGGTCTGATGGCGAAGGAGCACTATGCGATGCGATGGTTGGTCGAGGGGATCGAGGCCGAGGCAGAAGCGGACCGTAACCATGACGATACTCCAGGCAAGGCGGTCATCCTGCAACGGTTCCCTGAGCGGTGGAAGGAGATCATGTACGATCTCAATAGCCACGACGAGGACAGCAAGATCCTGCAGACGGAGAACTCCCTCAGGGTGGCTAGACGGATCGTGCTCGGAGAGAGAGTCACCGAGCAGGATCGGCTGGATTGGGGGGAAGACAGCCCGATACTGCGCCGGCTCCTCGACTCGTACGCCGTCGTTCTTCATGGGCGTGTTGAAGGCGCTGTACAAGTCGAGCATCTATGGGAGAGGGGGCGTCGCGTATCGCAACTGGACAGGCGCGGCGTGGGACCGCTTCCATGGAGCGTCGTGGTGGTGTGACCCGCAGAAAGCGTGGTGGGACCGCTTCTCGAAGCCACAGTGGGACGCGTACCCGAACCCACCTCCCCCTAACCCCGAGACGATAGCGGCGGCGCACAAGGCGATGGAGGCGCTCGAGTGTTTCTCCGACACTGCGGAGCTGCTGGGCGATGCTGAGCGGGAGTTGCTCAGGGAGAATCTGGGGGAGACGGGGCCGGCGCTGGGGGCTTTCACTTCGGACGGGGAGGACCTGTGCTGGTACCCGTTCTGGGAGAAGAAGCGGCCGCTGCCCTTTTACGCGGAGTTCGAGACGCCGGAAGGGAAATCTAAGACGGCTGAGGCTCGCTGTGCGGGGAACGAGTCCGCTCCCAACCAGACGAGCAAGCTGCCTCACACCCGCGGGCTCTACGTGTGGTGCTGCCCGCATCGGGTGCTCTACGGCATCCACATCATGCTGCGGGGAGAGAGCCCGAGAGATCCGTTCACGGTGCTCTACACCCGCTTCAACCGAGAAGATCTGCCGCGAGTGCTGATCAACGACTGTTCCTGCTCCGGTCAAAACTACTGCTTCAGGCGGGAGCCCACGTTCTTTTCGAACGTCCGGTTCGTCATCGACAAGTTCCACTACGGCAAGGCCGAGAAAGAGATCCATCTCTGCGGCCCCACGAACAGCAGTCACTACTACGGTCTGCTGACCCATGTGAACACGAGCGCGTGTGAGAGCGTGAACGGCTTCCTCAACCGCTTCACCACGATCGGATGGTTCTCGAAGCTCGAGAACATGATGATCCTTCTGCCCTTACTGATAACCGCTTACAACGCAGATCTGAGTAGAGTAGACGATCACACGATCAGGACAGCATGTAGACGTAGCATATGGACACCCGACATAAGAGATCTGCTTTTTCTTCAGTTGTAGTAGGTAGAGACGATGATGTTCTCGGGTATCGGGTCTGTTCTGATGGCCTCCCAGGCTGAAAGTGAGCGGCCCGCTCCCGTTCTTTCTCTCGTGCAATGTATCCTGAACATGGCGTCTTCTTCGATCCGGATACTCAGCCCGGTCAGTGTCCATGCCCATTTTGACCTGCGCGGAAGCGTAACCCTGCTCTGCAGCCTTCCCGAAGAGCTCAACTGCACGCCCCGCGTTCTCGGCCACCCCACTGCCGCTCATGTAGCACACACCCAGAGAAGCCCCTGATTAAAACGCCGGTTGCGAATCGGCAGGCATCTTAGTCGGAATTTTGCGAGCTTCAAAACCCTCCGAATGTCTTTATTGAAATCCGCGTTCTGCGCGCGCGGCATAACACAGAGACATGACCGTGCCATTGAAACCGAAACTTGCGCGGCCGCGCGACCAATCTGGCGCCCGCGGCAAGTAGCTGCGTCTCCCGCGGCCGCCCATGTTAGACCGTGGCGGCTTTGCGCGCGCACTCGTGCAAGGCGTGCCACGTGTAGTCATCATGAGGCATGGGTTGCTAAACTACAGTAGTATGAAAACTCAAGCGGACTCAGCGGAATTGTCCTTAGTCCCGCCAATTTTATACAGCCAGTGCCAGGCTGCCAGCAGTGGTGGCCATGTGATTCAGAGCTGCCACGTGGTTTATGGTGACTCAGCTCCACCGCATTTTGCGAAGGTACCAGGTTATAATCTATTTTTGATGCTTTTCCGAACTCGAGCATATAGGGCTAGTAATCCGGTTAAGAGTGAGGTGGTTGCAGAGCAGATGGATTAAGGTACATTCATAGAGTACCTGCATTGGGTTTACTTCGTAGGTATTTTGTGGCCAGCAACCTTCCCCTTCAGAGAGCGCGCTCCAGAAAGATGTGCTGGAGTTTGGCGCTTCATCGCTATGCAGACCGCCATCCCTCGGGACAGCTCAGCTCAATCCTATACAGCTGATATCGGTCATAAGATTGCCATCAAGGCGCCGGCTGCTTGTGGCCGCCCATGGCCATTGAAGATTTGAACAGCCCTGCATGGCTGGAGTACCAAAGCAGGAGGCGGCGGGAACATGGCGGGTGCGATGAAGAAATGAATGCAATGCAAGTTGATATGAATTGTCAGGTGAGCTGCCCCTTATCCATCTCCCGGTAGCTCTGCGCTTCCTGTAATGCCAACTGAATCATCATCTGAGATTTTTCTACTTTCATCAATTTCTACAACTCGTGATCAAAAACTAGGTACACTCACTTATTATAAGGATGCATAGTTGCCCAATTATTTGCAAGACCAAACCTCCGTGATATTCTCTTTTTAAAGCTGTAGCCACCTGCGCAAACGTCTCAGCTACGAGAATCCTGGCCACATTTGCCCCCAAACAAAGGGGCAGGCTAAACGTTCGATCAGAACAAGGTTTTTGTATTCAATGTTTTACAGTATGGTACTCAAAGGGTACAGCTCTAATACCCTAAACCCCTACAATCGCTCCAAAACTGATATGTACAATCTGTTTGCAGTCGAAGAATCACAACCGGGCAACCTCCCGTCACACTCAACCGCCGCTGTCAATCGCCGCCGCCACTGCCGCCCGTATCTCCTCGGCCTCGCGCTCCGCATCCTCTTCGGTCTCCTGCTGCTCGGCTATCGCCGCCCGCAGCTGCTCGGCGACGGGGACACGCGAGCGGGGGGGTGCAGGCTCACGCGCGCGCAGGTTCGCAGTCCGCTGGCAATCCTGTTTGTGAGCCCGCCAGTGGGACTTCTGGCACTCTCTTCCGCAGGAGCGCACGCTCGAGCAACGCGAGCACTTGTACAGGGACCGGGCGTCACGGTGGACGGCCTTGCAGTATGCGCACGTGGTTTCTGCGGCCATGTTCGGACCGACGCTGCTCTGCCGGAGGAACGGGTCCAGATCTTGCCGGAAGCTCTCTGAGAAGGCCCGGACTGCGGCGCTGGGCATGGGGGCTCGCCGGTCCGCCCCGCGGTAGAAGTGCACCGGGAGCAGCATGCCGGTGGACTTGGTGTCA